ACTACTGGCTCGCTAAGCACGCTGCGACGGCAGAACGCACCGCTATCAAATGGCAAAAAGGGAAGCAGAGAGATAGCAAGACATGGGGTGAAAAAGTACTGGGAGGAAGGGAAGAAAGCAAGAAAAAAGAAATAAGAAAAAGACAAAATGAAAACAGAGAAAGCGTAAAAATAAATTAAGAGAAACAAGAAATCACTGAACCATTTCAAGAGACTAATTCATTAAACAAGAAAGGAAGAGTGATCCTTAGAAATAATCGCTGAACAAAATAAATGAATATGACGATTGCACTAAAGAATTTATAATGGAAACTTTCTTGCGTGAAATAGAATAATAGAAAAACACTACATTTCCACTCCCTTTTTTCGCTGCACACCTGAATTTCATCCATAATCATTTAATGAAAACATATGTGTCAAATTATGTGATGTTCCCGTAAACACAAATTCCATGCCACAAACGTGATCATACGACCCATCTGACATTTCAACAAAATTTTTAGATGCGCGCAAGCAAAAAATATGCCAAGTAAATATTTTATGATTAAACATAAATATTATATTTATCATTGAGAAAGCTAACAGAAGAAAGACGGGTAATATTTACTTCCTCCTCTTTTCTCAGAATATATTAATAAGATTATATTTGAATTTCCTTACTCATTTATCGTATAAGTAGCATGTTTGTCAGTTTAAATTAATGATGATGTATGACTGATTATCTTGCGATGTATGCGTCTCAAAGGGGCTTCATTTACTTCCCAAACACTACATGCAGACGAAAAAAAAATTATTACGATTTTGGTAACGTGGAGAAGTTTGCAAACTACTCACGAACATCCTCTTAAACAAGCGTTCGAATACAACACCTAAAGAGGGTCAACCGAAGGGAAATCGCGGCTTCTTTCAATAAGCGGCGAAAAGAAAGGGGGAAAATGTGCCTTCAAAAGAATGATTTCTGCTTCCCATCTGCTTCTCACTTATGCAAATGCTGGCCCGTATATTTCCGAGCATTGAAGCGCACGTCTTGCGAGATCCCGAGGGACGATACGCGCGGCACGCAAAATTATTTACCTTCCCCTCTCTATACCTCTCAGGTCTTTTCAGGTGTCTAGTGCTATGTGCGCGCGGCGTCGGCGGCGACGAGAACGGCGGGGGCGGCCGGCGCGCTCCCACCCACACCGCCGCCACCGCACACGCCTTCAGGGGTCGGCGACACGGGCCGTGTAATTTGCAGCGGTGGGTGGCAGCGTGGCTGGGGCATAGTAGGGGTCGCGTCGAGACGGGGCGGGGCAGAGCAGAAGGCCGGCGATAGCGTTGGCAAGCGCGACGTGGACAACGTTGGCAACGAGGGGGAGAAGCGGCACAACGCGGCTGATGTGAAGAATGTCGCCAGAGGCCACCGACTACCGGCTGGGAGACGCGATCCCGGAAAACCCTTCTCCGAAAGCTTCTTCTTTGTCCAACGCTTTCGCCATTCACTAACTGGCGTCCGTCTGACACTGCGGCACTACCAGAGTATTTGAAGCGTGGGGGATAATCCGTAGAGGGATGGGAGTGCGGTCACGGTGGGGAAGGGAGGGTCGCGCGAGGTATTTTGAGACGCTGTTTAAACT